CGGCCTGTGTAGCTCTCCCAGTTCTGCACATAATCATGATTGTAACAGTCAGGAAAGAGGTAGAAGCCCCAGAGGTGCCGGGGCCGCACTGCCTTGACATAGCGTAGTGTCTCTAGCATGAACTGTCGTGCAGCAAACTCAAACTCATACTGTGCCTGCTTGACTATGCGATCTGATGGCCAGTCAGGGTGGCGACTGGCCACCAGCTGGCGTGACGACTGGCGGTACACATCTTTGTCTTGCCAGTTACGTACCCAAACAGGCCGCCAGTCCTCCCAGTCGATGACTGCCAGCCCCGCAGGCTCCTGTGTCCGAATGTAGTGTTCCACACCTTTCCGCAGCATCTTCAGGTGTGCCCAGAGGCTACCATTCTGTGGCACACCACCATGCACAGACCTTCCAGCTGAATCAAAGCGTGGATACAGGCCTAGACGGTCGCGGTAGAATATGGTGATGTTCTGGTTCACAAAACCCTCATTAGGTGATGCTTGCACATCAAAGGCATTCAGGTCCAGTGGCACCTTGAGGCGTGGGCCGCAGTCCTGTGTGGGCACGTCCCATGCTACCACAAAGGGCCGGCCGGTGAAGATGGGTGGCGCTGTGGGCTTGAGCTCCATGGCCCAAGTCACTGCCAGCACCAGGGCCAGTGTGATCGTGGGGCCTGGGCCTGCCCACATGCTGGGGGCTGCAGAAAGTGTCACCTGCCTGGCACCAGCTCAGGAACTAGAGGAAGGGTGGGGAGAACAAGTCAGTCTAAAGATTCCTGGAGGTGCCTACCGCAAGTCCATCTATGCTCCCAAGCCCATGTTGTGTGGGGCACTGTGCCCATGGCTGTTCACACCACACAGCTGTAACAGGTTTGAGAGACCATAGGCCACCGAAGGGCAGGCAAGACACCCTGGGGACTCACTGCGAGGAGCACAGGGTTCCTTTCTGGTGCAGGAAGCTGGGCAGGAATCTGTTAGGTCTGTGACCTTTCTAAGAAATGGATAAGCTAGGTTACGGACTAGCTGCCAGAGCCACATACACGCCTGCAAACCATCCGTACACGGTTTCAGAGAACCCTGAACCCCTGAGGCCCACCCTGGATCCCGGGAAGAACCCTCGATCCAGAGAAACGACAGCATTTGGGTGAGGCAGGGCAGCCCGTGAAGCTGGGAAGAAGAAACACCACCGCGCGGCTGGTATCTGCTTAACATCCGCCGGGCAGAAGAGTGAGCTGTCAGGACTTTGTCTCTAGCGCTGACACCGTCCCGGCCTTGGTAGAGGCCCTGCGGGGACAAAGGGGCAGCGGACCTCCCACGGCGGCGCCGGCCGGCCAGCCCTTCCCTCCACCGCCACAGGGAATGCGCGCGCCCGCCTCCCCGCCCGGCGGGTCCGGGATGGGGAGCTCTCCGCCTGGCCTTTGTGCGGGACCCCGCCCCCGCCCCGCACGTGGGGCCAGAGCCCGGCCGGGTGGGGGTGGGGTTCCCGGGCCGCCTCTTTGGGAGCACCCCCGAGGATTCAGAGTCCAGCCCGAGGGGAGAGAGCCTCCAGCTTTGCATCGCCCGCCCTCACCTCGCGCGGGGCGCCACCGGGACCCGCGCCAAGGCGACCGCCATCCCGAGCCCAGCCCAGCCCAGCCCGCTCCGGCCGTTCGCCCAGGCACTGCCCCCGCTCGGCGCCTTTGCTGGCTCCGCCCCCTCGGCCCGCGAGCCCTTTAAGAATTCAGCGCGGAGGTGGGCCCGGGGCAGGACCTGCGGTCGGGGCGGGAAGGTGTGCCAGACTTTCTCACCGCCAGTGCCGCATTTCGGGCTCGGGGATCCCCAGATCCTCTGCCGAGGAACGTGGCCACCCATCTGAGAACCTGAGATCCCTTCGAACAGGGCTTCCTGCCGGAGTCTCAGCCACTAGCACCAGTCAGCCTGAGATTTCCCCCCCACAGCCCGAGGCTGGTGGTACAGTCCTCCCCGCTCCGCGGCGCCGCCAGCCCCTTAAAGGGACAGCTTGAGGGACGGGGGGGGGGGAGCGGTGAGTAGCGGGGAGGAAATAAAGGAAATGGCGTTCCCTCGCTCGGCCATCAGGAGGTGCTGTGGTACTCCAAGGCTTTGGCTGGGGACAGCAGCAGATCTGGTTCTGCACCCCCAAATATAGACTCCAGCCTTGGGTCCCCTTTGTGTGGAAAAAGGGAGGCTGACCTGGGGCAAGCCCTGGCCTCCAGGACTGTAATACCCCGCTTCCCACGAATTAGGTCTCCCCAATTCTAGTTAAGGGTCTGAAGGGAAGCCCCACCCCGTCAGTCTGAGGGAAGGGGCCCAAGCACCGTCCCTTAGCCCTCCTGGGGCAAGATTGAGGCAGTCGTTGTCCTGACTACCCAAACTGTGGGTCGCAGCTCGGCCAGAGGGGATAGGGGCACCGTAGCTCTGCTGGGTCTGGAGGGTTGGGCGTCCCCTTTCCACGACCCTCATAGGGGCAGGCCAATCCCTAGGATACCCTCCTCTTCTGCCCAATCTCTGGGGGACCTTTGGGAGCCCTTAGAGTTCCCTCTCAACTCTGAGGAGGCCGCTATCCTTGAAGCAGTTTCTGGCCGAACCTTGGAGAAAGCCTGCAGGAGTTCTCTGGAGCCTCCTCCATCCTGGATCCTTGGTATACTGTCCACTCCCGGTGGGAAGCAGGCTTGGAGTTGCAACCGGGCGAGCCCAGTGTGAGACCTCCTCTTCCTAGATCCACTCTCCATAGCCCCAAAGGTCCCGCGTTTGCGTCCCCAGCCCTTTCCCCGCCCAGGCGCTTGGGAGCGGGAATGGAGTGCTGCTGCGAGTGTATCCGTGTGGTGCAGATCAGCCGTCTGCACTGGGCTCACCTGTGTGGGAGCCCGTCGGCCCACTAGGTCGGCGGCCTCTCTCCCTGGGATGAGCCTCTCCAGCCAGGCTGCTTGCGCCAGCTGCTGCCCGCTGGGCAGCCCTCCGCAGACTTGATAAACCCCATTCCCTCCCACTCGCTCCCGCCTCCCATCCCAGCCCTTTCTCCTCACTTCCTGCTGCCCCTCAGAAAGGAAAGGGCCAGGAACAGGCGCGGGGGAGGAGATCGCTTTGACCCTGTTTCCCTCCAGTAAGCCCCGCTGGCTGGCTGCCCTCCCCACCCTTCCCATGAGTAGGATCTGGCCCCACTAGCTGCACCAGGTGACAGGAAGGCTATGGGCCCAGGCTCAGGTGCCAGTCTCCCCCATGCCCACAGCTTCCTTAACACCGAGGAACCTTTTCTCCCCAGCCTTCCCTTGGAATCCAGTAGACTGAGAGCAGGGGCCCAGGTGGTGGTGGTGCTTTTGAAAATCAAACTACTTGGGAGATGTTCAGCTGATGGTTTCCAGGTCAGGTGTCAAAGATGGGAACCAATCCTGGGGGGAAGGGTAGGGGACTTCCAGGAGCGGAGTCAATTTTTTCCCACTGAAAGCAGAGGCACTCTGTGTGACAGAGAGGACAATGTGTTGATTTGTGTGTGTGTGTGTGGGGGGGGCTGGAACAGGAGCTGGGAGGATTCTGGAGAGTGCCCTCCTGCTGGAGGACATTCCTAGGTGGATTTCAGAGTCTGCTGCAGAGTAAGGAGCTCCTTACATGGGTGAGGAAAGGGGTGTGTTTCTATGGGAGTGGATGTTCCTGTGGCCGGCAGCAAGGTTCCAGGAAACCTCTCCAGAGGTGTAGACAAATCTGCCTACCCTCAAGTCACCCTGAGCCTACTGCTTAGCATCCCACTGGCTCACCTCCACAGCTGTTGGAGGGGAGGAGACGGGGGTGGGGGGGTGGGGGTGGTGGTATAGAGTCTGGCCCCGAGGACAAAGGAGTCCAGAACATGACAGGGGAAGGTGCAGTGTCATTGTACCACTGTGCTGGACTCACAAAGGACAAAGGCTTTAGAAGCTTCAAGGGTGGGGACCCTTGGGGAAACAAAGGCCAGGCCAGACTGTCCCAGGGCAGGAACACTTCCTCAGGCAGCCAGCAGGAAGGAAGTGAGCACAGCCCAGTGGGAGGGAGTGGGGAAGCACTGCCCTGACCCTCATTGTTTCCAACTTTGGGGTCAGCTGGGGCCCAGCACAGGGAGTTCCCCTAGACTGGGACAGTGGTGGTGGGAGACAGGATGCCATCTGACATGTGAAAGCTTCTGGGTCTTGAATAGCCAGTAAAGGGGACTGTGGAGGATAACAGAGCCTTATGCTTGTCATCTTCTGGGGGGATGGGAAGGCACTGCACAGAACTGTAAGGCTGGACATGGTGATCCTGCTCTGGACTTGACAAGTTCAAACCTCTGGAAGACTGGCAGGCCAACTCCCTAGTTCCAGAAGCCTGTTGCTTAACTGTCCCTCCCTAACTGGGAGTTGGGCTGATGGCCAAAGATTAGGCCTAGCAGAGAACCTGCTTCAAATAGGCTCTGAAAAGTATAGGTGGAATGTCTACAGTGGGTAGGGGATACAGGGGGCAGGTGGCAAGACAGGGGCAGTAGAGAGCAAAGGAAGTATTAGTGAGGTGAGCCTTGCTTGCTGGAACAGAAGCCCTGAGTTCATTCTGTGGTGTCCACAAAGTTTGGGTTGTAGAGCCTGGCAGTAGGCCAATGGTGTGGTGACACCTATCTGACTGCTGTCTATTAAGGCTGGGTCTTTGAGGTTCATGGGACTCAGGCTGTGACCTCACCTGGGGTAAGCTGGCAATGCTGGGGATAGAACAGGTATTCCATAACTTTCCGGGGTCATACTCTCACCTTAGGTCAGTCAAGTAGGGCAACCCTAATGAAGTATCCCAAAGCTTTCTGATTCCAGAGACCACCACAATGAATGCGATAGACAAGCCAGCATCCCCACAATCCTGAGGCTGCCCACAATGAGGTCTGTGTGAACACACAGCCACCTGCTGGCCACAGCTGGGATGGCCACAGGCTGGGCCCACCAGAATCCTATGCCAGGCCTACCCTATTAAGCCCAGCTGGTAGTCTAGACATTGGGTGTCACAGTCCCAGAGGATGCCACTCTTGTATGCAGGATCTACAAATAATTTTATTGAAATTGAACAAATAACACAACAGTCTTCCTAGGCTGAGGGCCACCCTCTCCAAGCCATTTCCCACACTCTAGAAGCACAGGGCTTGCACAGTATTAAAAAAAAAAGTCATCTCTGTGTAGAAATTAGACACTGCCCCAACATCATCATGGACTATTTACAAACCTTCACATTATAAGTATTCCTTTTATGATTTTCCTCTTTTTTGACCCCTACCCAGGGGCTCCAGTACTTTCCCTTGACTGATCCTGAGGGCATGGGGATTACTGTAGGGGAGTGGGTGGTGGGGCCACTCACAGCTACTGGCACTAGTCTTAGGGTCCCTTCCCAATTGTGTGTGTGTGTGGGGGGGCAGGACAGGCTGGTGCAAAGGCATGGGGGATTAGACAGAATAGGTGGGATGGAGTAACTTCTCATGGATATAAGCAGCCATAGCCCATCCTGACCCTGGCCTGTACCCTCTCAACTTCTCAACTGGGGGAGTGTGGGGGGCAACAACTAGTTGCAGTAGGGGGATCAGCCCAGTCCTGGGTGGAGAGAGAAGCCTCCCACACCAGTCCCTGCTCCTACTGACAGGTAGCAAACTGTCCGTCCATCTGAAGGTGGGAACAAATGGCAGGGAGGTGGGAAGAATTAGGCTTGTACTGCCCATAGCCTCTGTCCAACACAGGAGGAATCGAGGTAGCAAATGGCTGAAATGCTCTGACTAGGGGGTAAAAGGGAAGTGAAGAAGAGGAAGTTCCCACTTGTGTGTAGCCCCCGCAACCCAGGGGCTGGAAGAAGGCAGACCTTGCTTATAAAGTGCTGTAGCCTCTAGCAGGGCTAGGCCCCAGGCAAGCTTGGAAGAAGGCAGGCCAGGCAAAGAACCAGGAACCAGGTATTCCTGACTGGTACATGCCCTTCCATGCCTCTTGCAGGAGTGGCTGGGGAGAGTGGGCTGTTAAGTCTGCCATTAGCTTTTGCCAGCCTTCAACCACCTCTTGTCCAAACACAAACCAATACCCAACCAACACTGCGGGACTGACCCGCTCAAAGCTGAAGGTTCTGGGCCAACGGAGTTTATTCAGGGTTGTGGCCCCAGCTTGGGCTCCTCAATGGAAACCACACCTTGAGCCTGGGGGTTTCTTGCTGGGGCAGGGGATGCTTGTGCCTGCCACCTCCCAGTCTCACACCTCATAGAGGATCACAGGAAAATCCACATGGATGCGGGGGGGATCCAGCTTCACGATGCCCTGCCATGGAAACAGAGACTAGTGAAAGCTCAGGGCTTCAACTCCTAGGAAGCCTTCATGATCCTCCCAGATCCTCCCTCAAGAGCCCCCACCATGACAAGAAAACCCATCTGGATCTAGCTCCACACACACATATATATTTAGAGATGGGGTCTTGCTCTCATCACCCAGGGTGGAGTGCAGTGATGCAATCATAGTTCACTGCAACCTCGAACCCCTGGGCTCAAGCAATCCTGTTTCAGCTCTCCCAGTAGCTCAGACTACAAGCATGCACCACCACATCCGGCTAACACCTCCACACGCTTGATATAGGCTCTCTGATCACTGCCCAGCCCCTCACCTGAGGAATCAGATTCTTATGCACCCGCCTCAGCTTGGCCCGCTTCTGCCCGTTCTTGGTGACGATTGTCTCCTCATAGAACTCGTGAGCCAGATCCCCATCTTCGTCATAGAACATGGAGCTGTGTAGAGGGAGAGGGGGACAGGCTGGGTTGGAGCCCCACATGTGGTTGTAGCAAATGCCATAGACCACAGGGAAGTATGCCCAAGTGGGGAGAAACGATCTTGGTGGGGAGAAACAATCTTGGTGGGAAGAAGGGAGAATAATCTGCCTGGAGAATCCTTTGCCTGGGATAGAGGTCTACTAGAAGTAAGTGGAGAATGGGGTGATGACCGGTGCTACTATGTCAGACCCCCAAGAAGAAAGGTCACACCAGAGCACACTATCCAGGCAACTAGGCCAGTTCTCATAATTGATTTGTTAAGCAAGAACAGCCGGCCATTCCAGTATCAGACCCTTGCCTTCACGCAAGACTTCTTGAGTGGGCAGGGTGCTGGCCTGTGCATGTTGGTCTCATTCCAGAGGGCGCTGCAGGTCCAGTGCCACAGACTGAGATAGCAGATATCTAAATTAGGAAAGAGCCTAAAGGGAAGAAGACTGTGTTCCCCTCCCCCAAGTGGCTGGTGCAGACAAATTGCCACTGTTGGGTCTCCTTGGTATTTACAGCCAAATCTTCAGCATGGGGAGTGCCCATTCCCAGGAGCCCACAAAGACCAGGCCAATTAGGTGCTCTTATTTGGCCCCTGAGGAGAGAGGAGGGGTAGGTCAGTGTTCTGGAGCTGGGGAACATAACTGGGTGAGAGTCTTTTCCCCCGACCTCACCCCTAATATTGGGACACAGCCTTGTTTTCCCAGCCACTACCCCCAGGTCCAACCCCAGTTCTGTTGGGCAGGGAAGCAGCCTAAACAGGATCACTAGTCCCTAGAAGATTTGGGGCAAGGAAAGGCTAGGAACTTTCAACTGGCAGGCTAAGCTAGAAGGGAAAAAAGGAAGAGGTTATGAGATCTTATGGAGGCCCTATCTTAGCTTTACCGTGCTGAAGGCCTGTCTCGGGCCCAGTCTTCCCTAGAGAGGCCTTCAGAGTAGCCAGGCCGCCAGGAGCCAACTGCTCGGCTCTCCCCACCCATTGCTCAGATGGAAGCTCAAAATATGGGAGTCGTCCTGGCTCGGGTGGTGGGAACAGAAGCAGAAGCTTTCCTGTGGCGCGGGGCACCTGTCCTCCCCGGGGCGGAACTCATGCCCTTACCCGCGGCGCGTGAATACGAAGGGGGGCACGGCTCGGCCTCGAGGCCGCACCAAAGCTTGCTCAGCGCCTGCTGCCTCTGGGTTGCCGCCCCCCGCCGCCGAAGCAAAGGGCCACAGGCCCCGAGCTTTGGAGCCGCTGGCGCCCATGTCAGGGCCGCCGGCGCATGGTGGGCCCCGCGGCCACTCTGCTCTCACGGCGCAGTCGGTGCCACCATGTCCTGTCTCAGCTTCAGCTCGCAGGTGCCGCCGCCGCCGCCTTCAGTAGGCTCGGCTGTCTCCACGGAAACCTCACTTCCGCTTCCGCACGCTGCATCGTCTGATTGGCTGCTGCTCTCGTCGGTCTGTGGGGCCGGACCAATGGATGCTAGGCATCCCAGCATGCGGTGCGAGAGCCCGGGTCCCAGCAGGCCACGCTCTCTCCAGCTGGGACAGCTCCCACCTTGGATACCGGTAGCTGAGTGTCTACCTAGGCTCTTCGCTGCCTACAGCGGCTCCGATGTCCCCGATCCCGAGTTCAGGCCCCTGCTCAACTACCAGTCCTCAAATCAACACTTCAGGGCCTGAGTGCCTGTTTGGCTTCTATTTTTCACAACTGTGTTTTTGTGATTGTCAGTCTCGCCTGAGGAAACCAAGCCAAAGGAGGATCAAGGAACTGGTTGTATCATAGTTACTGAGGTCTGAAGAACTTCAAATTCAGTGTTCTTTTCAAACCTACGAGAATGTATGCCTCATGAAAGCGAGAATTGTTAACAGCTGTACCTTGGTGCCAAGGGGGTGTCTGGTCCACTGTAGTAGCTCAATAAATATTTGCTAAAGGGCTTGCTGTGTTGTGTTGTGGGGACGGTTTCCCTAAGCTCTAGCTGCAGCCTACATTTAACCCCACCGTGACCTGAGGTCCAAGTAGTTGAGTGTATCTGAGTACAAGGGGGGACCCCCTTGGCGCCCCCCTCCCCCCGGAAACATCAGTGTACCAGCTAGCATTGTTGCGAGAGGCTGTTTGGCTTCCATGAATTTTTTTTTTGGAGTTTTTCAATGTGTTTGCCCATTTCATGATGGATGATTTATGAGCACATCTGCCCACATCACACTGTTTAGTATTTTTTTAAAACCAAAAACAGCATCACTCCCATGCCCCATCCTCCCTATTGACCCGATCTCACCCTGTATGAGTTTTGTTTCCTGAAGAAAGTCTTCAGAGGGAAACGTTTTGCCTGTATGGAAGAGGTCACACAAAAAATGGCAGAAGCACTAAAATGCATCAAAATCCATGAGTTCAACAACTGTTTTGAGCAGTGGAAACAGCATCTTGATGGGTGTATTGTAGCAAACGGAGAGTACTCTGAAGGTGACTGAAGTTTAAAGCTGGGTACAATGGCTCACACATATAATCTCAGCACTTTGGGAGGTGGAGGTGAGAAGATTGCCTGAGCTCAGGGGTTAGCGATCAACCTAAGCAAGTTGGCAATACCTCGTCTCTACAATTAAAAAAAAAAAAAAATTAGCTGGGTATGGTGGCGCATACCTGTAGTTCCAGCTACTTGGAAGGTCACCTGAATTCAGCAAGTAGAGGCTGCGATGGCCATGAACATGCCACTGCACGCCAGCATGGGTGAGAATGAAACTCCAACTAAAAAAAAAAAGATGACTGAAGTTTTTTTTTTTTTTTGAGTTGGAGTCTCATTCTTTCACCCAGGCTGGGTGGGCTCCGGCGATACTTCCGCCTCAGCCTTCCAAGTAGCTGGAACTACAGGTAAGTGCTACCACGCCCGGCTAGTTTTTGATTTATTGTAGAGATGAAGTCTCGCCAAGTTGCCCAGGCAGGTCTCGAACCCGCGGGCTCAGGCAATCCACTCACCTCAGCCTCCCAAAGCACTGGGATTACAGGCTGAGCTACCGAGCCCAGCTGATGACTGAAGTTTAAATATGCAATACACAACTTTCTATAAATAAATAAATCCTGGGTTTTTTTTTTACTTCTCCCTGTACATATGCATAACACTTCTGAGCCTGGAAGGCACTGACTTGAGAAGCTACTACAACTATGAGCCCATAATAAAGAGTCCAAAAGCAGGAGGATACTTAAATCTTTATTCAGCCAATTCTCTCAGGCCCCAGACTCTGATGACTGTCACCCTCACCCTTTTCCATAGGAGGCATTCAGCTGAGGCCACAACACATTACATACATTCGCACACTTCAAGAAAAATACCTGAGGGAGAGACCCTGGCTTTGATTTGCAAACAAGGTATGGACATGGGTCAGTGCTAACATCCACATAGACCCTGGCCCAGGATATTCTCCTTGGAGGAGGCACTGAGGTACTGTTGCTGTACTGTGAGCCAGCACTCCCTCACCTCAGGGTATGTGAGGAACCAGAGGGCACTCAGAGGGAAAACCAGACTTTTCCTTAATGCCTGCCTTATTCTGAGCATCTACCCTTGACTCTGATGGGGATATCCTGAGACCCCATCCAATCCAAAACACCTTTCCCCATAGGTGAGGGCCCTCACCCCCACAAACATGACCCTGTTCTGTTTGTAGTCTCCAAGCTTCTCACATCTGAGACATAAATTAAGGAGACTTCTGTTTGCTCCACCCCTGCTGCAAGCCTGGAGCAGCTTCCCAGGGCAACCCTGGCTCACCATGACCCAGTACATGAGGGACAGAGGGGTGAAGAGCCATACCCTGCTACACCCACTGGTGGACACAGGGGACCAGCTCTTTTGATGTTCCCTGGGCATTCCCCCAGCAGGGGAGGGCATCCATACACACTCATTCCTCAGGCCATGGGCCCTGTCACACTCACACGCTTTTGGCGCTGCCTACTCTCCTCCTTCCATCAAGGGATACAAACGGTCACCCCAGGGGGCAGGCATGCAGGGCCTCTTGGATCTTCTGTCGGCAATAGGAGTACTTCTGCAAGATCTGGCGGAGGTGCTCCTCCTCCTCCCGCTGCAGGATGCGCAGGAAGTTGTGTAGTTCAGGCATGCTGAAGGCATCCCACTGCAAGTTGGGGGGGAAAAGTTATACAGGCTGTAGCAGGGATGGCAAGCCAGCAGACCCTCCCCAAAGACTGACACATCATGTTCATACAAGCGAGGATCAGGCTTTCTAATGTCAGGTTCTTGGCTGAATGGTCTGTGTGAGGATCTATGACTGCAGCCTGTAAAGAAGATGGGCCCTGTTGGGTGCGGTGGCACATGCCTACAATCCCAGCACTTTGGGAGGCTGAGGTGAGAGAACTGCCTGAGCTCACAGGTTTGAGACCAGCCTGGGCAACTTGGATAGACCTCATCTCTACAATAAAAAGCAAAAAATTAGCTGGCCTATAGAGTGGTTAAACTCAGAACATGGGCATGACCTGTCCCTAGGTAAATGGGAAACATCTGGTTTGGGTGCCTCTCAGTGAGGTGACATTTTGTAGGGTTCATCTATTTTCTTTTTTTTGAGTCGGAGTCTCATTCTGTCGCCCAGGCTGGAGTGCAGTGGCATGCTCACAGTTACCACAGCCTTGACCCATGGGGCTCAGGAGATTCTTCTGCCTCAGCCGTCCAAGTAGCTGGAAGCACAGGCGTGTGCCACCACACTCAGCTAATTTTTTTTTTTAATTTATCGTAGAGACGAGGTCTCACCATGTTGCCCAGGGTGGTCTCAAAGAACCCCTGGGCTCAAGTAATCCTCTCACTTCCAACTCCCAAAGTGATGGGATTATAGCTGTGGGCCACTGCACCCAGCCAGGGTCCATCTTTTTTTTTTTTTTTTTTTGAAT